TTTATAACGAGTATTACAATAATACATAAAATAAAATTGTTCCTAAAAATAAATAAGAAGACATCGGTGGTAATATCTTACATTGATAAAGCAAAAATACGTTGAATACAATGTCTTGATGGCAATCATCGAATTTATATTTCTATGTTTTATTCACAGACTCCGTGTAAATGTGATTGTCGGAAGAAGTTTGAAGGGTGGAGTGGAAAAAAATAAGCACAGAATAAATAAACAAAGTTGTTACATTTTCTTCCCGTAAAAGTATTAATGAACGTGTGTATACTACATATTAAACAATAAAATTCATCATAACTATTTCTGCATGTCTAGTAAAAAATTGACTCTTGAAATTAAAGCTTCTATTTTTTTAAATAAAAAAAATCTTAGCAAAAATCAGTGTGTTCTTATTTTATAATAGCATCTTTCATAAGAAAATGGGTAATCTGATTAGTGGTTCAACCATTGGCCGTTCCAAGTCTCACAAGTAGACAGTTGTGTCATTTGCTGATTTAGGTAACAACTGGTGATTACCAAAAAATAGCATTTTGGTATTGTTTCGTCAAAAAAAATAACCGGAAAAATCTTCTGACGCATTGTCGCAACACCAACGTCGTTGTCGGCACCCTTGAAAGACTTGAAACTTCCACAAGTTGCTCTATTTTTTCGAGAAAATTCGTGAACAATATATCCAATAGCCTACATTGAAAACTAAATATCAACCTAGCAGAATATTCTTGCAGTGATTTGTATGTCGCTTTGTAAACATAAGTTCGAAAGTGAGGCTGACCAATTTAAACAAAATTTCAACTCGATATGGGAGAAAAATACTTGCTTGAGAAAATCAAAGCCTCGAGTCTGCAAGTTGTGTCGGTGCTAAATGGATACAACCTGAACAGCATGTTATCGGTGTTCGGGAGCGCTTCATTTATGAAAGCACCTTCTTCGTTTTAAGAATCTGAAAATTAATACAAGAAACAGAGTGGGAGACGAAACCTTGGATGACAGTTAGAGACTTTCAACGACAAACATAAATATTGAGATAAAAACATCGTCTAGTGATAAATAATAATCAAATGTCTCGGGCCTAATGTGGCCCGCGAACAACATAAAATTAAAATTTGCGCCAAATTTACAAGCGATTCATTTCAAATAGTGTAGCAAGTCGTCGCCGCTAAATAAAACCTGAGGTAGTACAGTTTGCCCCAGAAAACCAAGCCAAGTTTGAGAGTCCCAATTCTAATGGTTAGAGCGGTTGGTCAAAAAAATGGCCTAATATTTCCTTTATATTTATTTCAACACTCCTCATGCAAAATTTATATGTAAAGTATATTTCATGATGGACTTGAAAATATTCCCCTGAAATTAAATTTTCAAATACAAAAATTTGGAAAACTGGTTCATATGATTTTGTTATACCAATATGACCGCAATTAACGGAGGCTGGTGATGTATTGGTAAATCAGATAAACACAAATTGAATAAATTAGTTTCACATATTGAAAAGTTATTCAGTTGGGTTTTTAAGAAAAAAATTTCGACGAATTAAGTTTCTTTCTTTAACTCCGGGACAGAGTAGTCATTGTGAATAGATATGTAAATTTCATCAATTTTTGTCCTGTTGCTGTGTAGCATCGGTGGCGTTTTTTATTATTCATTTTAAAAATCTGTTTATGCCATTGTGGGAATGGTGAATCAGTTTAACTTTTTCAATACACAAAAACATAAACAGAACTAAATTATTCATATCACAAGCTCTTGTTCTCCTGTAGTTAGTAAATCTTGCAGATTACCTGATTTTCAGTGTTAATGAGAACTGTGTTGCTGTCAGTTAAGATCATATGCAGTATAATATAGTTTGAAGGTACATACGTTTATTAAAGATCTGTTTATGAGATTGTGGGTTAATGCGATCAGTTTAACGTCTTTCATACACAAAACAAGTATACGCTAAACACATTTTTATAAACAGACCTAAGGAACTTTATCGTAATTAACGAGGTTCTTTATTTATCTCGGTACTAATTTAAAATTATATTTTCTAAGAACAATTTCATAAACAGCACTAAGCAGTAATAAATGAGATCTCTTGATGTGTCTCGGTCATTAATATTATTGATCAAAACCTAGATTTTTATTTGCAAAACTGTTCACATGAGAATAGTAGATTTTGTTTAGTGTTCATTACACACATCAAAATTGTTTCTAACGATCATCGGAGCTCGATTCAAAAATCTCATGCCCAACTAGATTGCATTTTATCATTATCACGACGTGGTCCAATATCATTATATATTATAGGATTATAATCCTTCGTGACAAGCATCTTCTAAACACAATACTAAATAGAAACAGTTCTGACATTTTCAACATAAACATCATGACAAATAACGACCTAAAAATTTTGTCTGACCCAATCCTTTTATTGAAAATCAACTATTAAAGCATGAAAATTATTAGTTCGTACTTGCGATATATCATACACTTTGTAAATGCAACATTGTGATATTACATGTTAAATACACATTATTTCATTAATTATGACTTAAAAAAGGCCTTAGTTATTTTCATTTGAAAACAAAGCTCAAGGCCGAGAGAAATTTAGGAAGCATGTTTCCGTGTGCCGTTCCATTGCACGTGCAGGATATTATATGAGTATATGTAAGCTGATCACGTAAAGTGTTTTATGGAGAATTGACATCTAGACAAAAAGTTGGATGTTGTACAACAATCCATTTAATTCATTTTACTTTCGTTTTATTAATCTTGCTATAACCACAAGCCTTTACGAATATTGGATAAAGTTTCTTAAGTTCATGAAATTTCCCCTTTCTACAAATATAAAGTTGGTATTGTGTTGGTTATGGATTTATAAAATATTCAAATTTAGGAGTGTCTATATAGTCATAGTCAAGTTTATTTTTTAAATGCAGTAAAAATGGAATTGAATTAGAATGCTATGTATGTCTCGAAAACAAAGAAGACGGGTAAATACAATCAAAAATGGTAATGGAAAACATTCCAAGAATGCATGCGTAACATTTTACTAAATAGGAATGACCAAAAATTAAAAAAAATGTTGTTCGGCATCGATTAAGAGTAAAAATGCTCTTTGATATGAGAAATAATAACACTTCAATTTTATCTGAGGCTGACCAGTGACGTCAACAAGCATTCAATCAACATCACACGGTGGCCTATAAACAAAACCTTCCTGTAGCTACTTCTGAGGAGTGGCATTTATCGGCTGAAAAAATACAAACGGAAGATTGAACTGATCAAAAGGAGAGAATTAGAAGTCGGCAAAAAAAACTTAAACGTTATGAAATTAATGCATTTCATATTTATGTCTCGTTTAGGACCTATTTTAGAATATCACGTAGCAATGGAATACGACAGTACAACTATAATCCCAAATTTGAGGACAATTGTCAGTAAAAGCGTCATATTTTTTGCATCAAAATACACAGGAAAAATATATATCAAATGGTAGATCTGTAAATCGGTATTTATTTGTAAAAATGACTGGGGATTAGTAAAATTGTTTGATACGCCGATGACGAGATTTATAATCCGGTAATAACTATTAAAAAATAAATGGCTAGGCTTAAATCATTACTAGACCCTCTTATGCTGGAAATGTTACACTTTTTTTCTATGTTGTAATGAGATATATAATACTTGCCATAGTGCTCATAGCATGATACTGTTCGCCATTTTGATAATGGTCCGAACACACGGGTATGAAGTGTATATGCATGGCCAGGCCTCGTAAACCCTTTCCAATCAAGCATATTTAAACTCCTTGTGGTATGACTGTTTACATAAGACCAATCTCTAGATGAAGCTGTATAAAATAGCGCATTTCTTTGAGTACTATTTATCGTTGATGTTCCCGTGACGTTTCTGTGATAACCGCATCCCCGTTTTGAACTGGAATAACCTCGGATCGTTCGTAGGGCAATGATTTGCGTATAAATTTAGGAATTTAGTGAGATCGAAATGGCTGAAATATCTTTAATATTCATTTGCATCACACTTTTTTATAACTCGAAATCTCATCTGTACATTAAACTATGTCGAATCCAACCTTCATAAATGAATTTCATATTTGTTGATCAATGTATAAAATTGCCGTCTAGTAGGCTAAACTACCAGTAGTACATATAACTACATCCATTTCAACAGTTTGGTAAATGAAAATCGAGCTTTCGGCCAATATTGATACTTTTTGCCAGGAAAGAATATATATATCCGAGAAAAAAAAGAACTTATCTATTACGGTAACGTTTCTCAGTCCTGTTCATGAACATATTTTCAGTGTGTACTTGTTTTAGTGTATTTAAGACGTTATCTGATCTACCATTTTACATTCTCAGAAACGGTCATTTAATAAACTTATGTGGTTACAAATTTTATAGAATATTCTGAATGAATTATTTCACTGTTTGTGATTGGATAAAATACTTTTAAATTAATACCAAGATAATTTAGTCATAACTGACAGGCCCAATATACAAGATTTCAATCACGATTTCTTTGCGCATCGACGTAAATGTATGCCATTTTTAGAATAGCTCGAAGCAGTAGAATCAGACAGCGTAACGAGGAGAAAAAATCATATTTTACACAAAGAGCGTCAATTTTTTTTCATCCAATTGAATTTAGCACCACTATTTAAAAAAATATATTCACTTAAGTCATCTCTTGTGAGTGGTAAAGTTTTGTGGAAAATTTGCAGGTGTTAAAATTTATAGTTTGGAAAAAATGAGAAAAGCTATTAAATAAAACTAAAGCTATAAAAAATGAATATAGTAGCAATTTATTCAATACATTGAAAAGTCCTTGCATTGTAGTACAGTATGAAAGAGGTTGTGACGGTTCAGATATTTTGTTCAGACATTGGGATTTTTGAAAACAAGAGCTTGTGGTACCAGAGACTATTGAATAATTCTGGGACATGCTGGCACAATTAATCTTGAAAGTACTTGTAAATAAATATCTTATAAGCAGTTTAACTATCACTGATAGGAATCATGAAGTTCATACTCTTTTTCTCTCTATTTGTTGGAGTACTGGGCACATCTGCCCACACAGAACTCAATATGGAGGATTTCTTTGCAAAATTTGATGCTCAGGTTTGTAGTTATAAATATATAAAACAATATTGAATTTAGTATTTTTTCTCATTATTCATTTTCCTAATATATTTGTTTATTGCACAATACCTATAACAGGTAACATTGCGGGAGGCAAGAATGTTCGATTTTCCGGAAGAAAAAGAATTTTCTCTCGGCATCTATCCGACGTGTGACCGGTTCAGGTATTTGAAAGTATTAACTGTGCTTGAATGTTTGTGGACATATTGCATTTTTGTTTCACTCTTAGGCGTTGCATTCATTTTTCCATGAATAAAGAGCTAATGAAATTGTGGTAGACATTTTGCAAAATATCATAATTTATCATGTAAAAAGTCATTAACCCATACCTCAGTCATAGTTTTCACTTTTAAATGTTATTTTTTAAAGATATTTCACTGGGCCGAAGGACTCGTGTGACATGAGCGGAAATAACCTCAGTGAGAGATATCCGCTCTTCTCCGGCTGTCAAGAACAAAATTGTACTCAGCTATCTTACTACGGTTCAACAAAATGCAAGAGAATGGTGAAACTGTTCAAACCTTTCTATCATTCCGGCGTTGAATGCAAGTAAGTTAGAATATGATAGACTTTTTTTGTGATTTGATTTGTTGTCCAATTACACTATGCATTCCAAAACGAAAAACGCTTTGCAAGACAAAATGCCAATCACTCGTCTTGAGCAGAACACAACAAGTTGACGAATATTTTGACAGACAAACGCGGAAATTAAAATGTTTAGAGCACACATCAAAGTAGAAATAAAACAATATGTTGTTTAAACGGGATGATGACGCATATCCAGTGTTGCCTTTATTTATGACGTAACTCAATCATTGACGCAAGAATCTTCTTGTGGCCATTTGTCTCACGCTGAAAATAAAATTTACTAATCTAAAAATATTATTTCGTATCTTTGATGAATTAAAATATTTTTTGAAGGTTGTCCAAGCAGATTTGTCCTGCAATGCAAGCTAGTAAATTGTCCCATTTATATTCACCTACAACCTATCGACCAGATGAAATGAAAACGTACCCTTTTTTTATGAGCAACTGTGAGTGTCAAACAGTTTGGAGTATACATGACATATTTACACTTTATGAAGAAAATGGAAAACTGTACAAAGGAAATGTTACAGTGAAGGTTCGTATCTCTTATATAAATCTGAATAAAACCACAATATTTCCTCAATGTGGAATTTTAGTTAAACAGATGCAATGAGATGCAATCAAATTCTTAAACTAAATATTTTTATTTTTGTTAGAGAAATGAAAGTGTGTAACAACTCGGCACTGTGTTATTAATATGATATAACTGAGATGTAAAGTACTAATCACTTTCAATAGAACACAAATATATTTGTTCATAAAAAACATCCATGTCGGTAAAGTGAAAACGTGTTGAGATTTAAATTGTCGTTTCTATTGAGAACAATTAACTTCATATTTGAATGTTTATTCACAGACTCCGTGTAAATGTGATTGTCGGAAGAAAGTTGAAGGGTGGAATGGGAAAAAATAGGCACAGAATAAATAAAGAAAGTTATTACATTTTCTTTCAGTAAAATTATTATTGAAAGTTTGTGTAAACTACATATTAAACAATAAAAATTCATCACAACTATTTTTGCATGTCTAGTAAAAATTTGACTCTTGGTTTTAAAGCATCTAATATTTTGGTTAATAAAAAACCTATTTAAAAAACTTAAACGTGTACTTATTTTGTAATAGAATCTTTCATAGGGAGATGTGTACTCTGATTAGTGAATACCCATGGCCGTTACTAGTCATCCAAGTAGACAGTTGTGTTTTGTGCTTGATAACCTGACTTATGCAGATGAAAGCAATATTTAGCAAAATTGATATAAAAAATCCACGAATAGATCTGATGTTGTACAATGAATTGTCCATGTCAAAACAGCCTATTTGCTTGAAATATTGACCTAGAACAAACTATGCTTGCTAATGTTTTGCTTGCATATATTCTTCATTATTATACTGAAAATTGAAGAAGATATCATCATCACCGCTCACATATGCATAGTCTGCAATCCAAACTTCTTTTGTGTAAATTATGAGTTTGACGCAAACAACAACCCGATTTAAATCATTGCTTCGAGTTAAAAGATCTTGATTTTCACGCAAGCAATTGCAATGGCTGATGTGACATTTATTTTTAACTACATTAACTACAAATGATGTGTTTTATATTTAAATGTGTCGTGATTCTGAGCGACTATATAGGCCCGATCGGAAATATCATTTCATATCAAAAGAATTAGATGAGGTTATTTGAAATTGGAAGAAACTATAAGATAAAATCTGACGTATTCGAGCTAAATTTGAAAATGATTCGTTTTCAGACATTAACACACGGCGTCGCCACCAAATAAACCGTTTGTTTTTCAAACACTACTGGTTCAAAATGTAATGTCTCTTTCATGATGGCCCCGAAAAATTTCAAACTTAAATTTTCACATACACAAATTTGAGGATCTTCTTTCTATGATCATTCATATCAATTTGACCGCAGTCAATGAAGGCTGGTGATGTGTTGGCAAATCAGACAAAAATATACATTTATATTTGAAATCGGCCCTATGACTATAAACCACAAGGTATGTTTTTCATATAAAGGAATTTTTTGCAAATGGTCACATATTGACAGATTATTCGGTTGGGTTCTCAAGAAAAAAAAAACTTATCTTGACGAATTAAGTTTATTTCTTTAACTCCGGCTTAGAGTAGTTACGGTGGATAGAGAAGTAAAGAGTTCATTAATTTTTGTTCTGATCAGCCTGTTGTTGTGTTGCATAGGTGGCGTTTTTTATTATTTAATATTAAAGATCTGTTTATGAGATAATGGGAATGGTGAATCAGTTTAAAGTCTTCAATACACAAAAACAAGTATACGGTAAACACATTTTCATAATCAAGAGTAAGAAATGTTACCGCAATTGACAAGGGCTCTTTATTTATCTCTGTATTAATTTGAAAGTATTTCATCCAATAATTAACAACGTAAATATTTCTATTGCTCGAAGTATTTTGTAAAATGCAAACTTTTTAACTACATAAGTTTGATAAATGTAATTAAAATTGTCATTAATATTATTGATAGAAAGCTAGATTTTTATTTACAAAACCATTGACATGGATGTAGTTGTATGTACTACTAGTAGTATAGCATACTAGAAGGCAATTTCTATACATTGATCAGCAAACATGAAATTCATTTATTTCAGAAGGTTCGATTCGACATAGTTTAATATACAGATGAGATTCCGAATCATAAAAATTTGTGATGCAAATGAATATTAAAGATATTTCAGCTTTTTCGATCTCACTAAACTCATAATTTTACACGCGAATTATTGCCTTACCCACGATCAGAGGTTAATCCAGTTCAAACGGGGATGTGGTTATAATAGAAATTCCACGGGACTATCAACGATAAAACGTACTCAAAGCTATTTTATACAGTTTCGTCAAGAGATTAGGCTGATATAAACAGTCTTACCACAATGTGTTTGAATATGCTTGATTGAAATAGGTTTTGGGGGCCACGCCATGCATATACATATCATACCTGTGTGTTCGAATAATTATTAAAATGACGACCAGTATCATGCTATGGACACAATGGCAAGTATTATATATCTCGTTACAACATAAAAACAATTTCAACATTTTCAGCATAAGAGGGTCTAGTAATGAGGATTTAAGAGGTTTAGAAATGATTTAAGCATAGCCATTTATTTATTTAATAGTTGATCCCGGATTATAAATCTCGTCACCAGCGTACAATTTTACTAATCCCCAGTCTTGAATATCAAATGCATTAATTTCATATTGTTTAAACTTTTTTGCCCACTTCAATTGTCCCCTTTTGATCAATTTAATCTTTAGTTTGTATTTTTTCACCCGGCAAATGCCACTCCTCTGAGATAGCCACAAGAAGGCATTGTTTATGTGCCACGGTGCTATGTTGATGGAATGCTTGTTGACGCCATTTGTCAATCAGATAATATTGGATTGCCATTATTTCTCATATCAAATTGTATTTTAACCATGGATCAATGTCAAAAACAGTTTCTTGCTTTTTGGCCATTGCTATTTAATAAAATGTTACATATGCAAATAAAAGTTACAACTAAAAGTTGAACTGATCTAAAGGAGACAACTAAAGTGGGCAAAAAAGTTTATACGATATGATAATCAATGCATTTGATATTTATGTCTCGTTCAGGGCAAGCTACTTCCATCGATGATTCATCATTTTAGCATAGCACGTAGCAATAGAATCCCACAGTACAACTATAATTGCAAATCGAATGACAATTGCCACTAAAAGAGTCATATATTTTGCATTAAATACTTTTATCAAACCTGAGAGATTTATATCAAATAAGAGCTCATAATCAGGGAACTAGGGGAAAATGTCAAATAAATAAATGTCTAGGTCCAAATCATTACTAGACCTTCTTATGCTAATAATGGAACTGGTTTTTATGTTGTAAAGAGTTACATAATGCTCGCCAAAGTGCTCATAGCATGATACTGGTCGCCATTTTGATAATGGTTTAAACACACTGTAAGAAATGTACATGCATGGCCAGGCTTCCAAAAAACCTTTCAATCAAACGTATTTGAACTCATTGTGGAATGACTGTTTATATCAACCCAATCTATACACGAAGCTGTATATAATAGCGCATTTCTTTGAGTACTTGTTATCGTTGATGTTTCCGTGGTATTTCTATTATATAACCAGATCCCAGTTTTGTACTGGAATAACGCCAGATTGTGCGTAAGGCAATGATTCGCGTATAAATTTATGAGATAGTGAGATCGAAATGGCTGATGTATCTTTAATATTCATTTACATCACACATTTTTATGATTCGGAATCTCATCTGTATATCAAACTATGTCGAATCCAACCTTTTAAAATAAATAAAATTCATATTTGTTGATCAATGTATAAAGATCTCCATCCAGTATGCTACATTATTAGTAGTACATATAACTACAACTATTTCAATAGTTTTGTAATTAAAAATCGAGATTTCTACCAATAATATTCATGCCAAATTTAGCCAGAAAGAAATATATATTACCGACACAAATAACCCTCATCTATTACGGTAACGTTTCTGGGTACAGTTCATGAAAGTGTATTTAGGATGTATTTGTTTTTGTGTAATGAAGACGTTATTCGATCAACCATTCTTACATTCGCATAAACAGACATTTAATAAACTGATGTAGTTAAAAAGAAAAAAAAGTTTAAAAAAAAATAGTTTTAAATTAATACGAGATAAATGAAGATCCCTCGTCAATTGTGGTAATGTTTCCTAGTCCTGTTTATGAGAATGCGGTTAAGATATATTTGTTTTTGTGTATCGAAGACGTTAAGCTAATTCACCATTTCCACAATCGCATAAACAGATCTCTAATAAACTCACATACCACAAAACTTTATGATACCGCATATGACCTTAACTTGACTTGACAACACACAATTCTCACGAACACCGAAAATGCGAATTTGTCAAAAAAAAACTTTGCATTTTACAGAATACCCGTAATACTGTGCTTTTGATGTGTATCATTGGATATGAAATATTTATATTAGTTTATTGAAAAATGTATGTTTGGTATACACCCAAATCATTGCTCAATTCAATGTTTATGATAAAATTTTCATGCTGATTTTTTGTAACAAAAAATGTACTTGCATCAACTGTAATAAATGTATCTTCATTTCAAAACACAGCATCATATCACAGCATATAGATAGATACATAAGGTGTTATACAAGGTGGTATCAGATTTGATATATGTATTGAACCGATACAATCTGTATAAAATCTATCTGACGAAAACCAAATGAAAGAACAATCCTAAGTGATTCAAGAGTCTTGCTGCACACTAACACAAATATATTTCTGTAACGTTTTGTCTGACCAAGGTCAGACTTCTTCAGACATACATAGTTCAACTACAACAAGAAAAGCGGTTACATACATATTTAAACAATCAGTATAAGAGTATGGGAGTTACACATGTTAAATAATCAATTAAATCAGTGAATTCTTGATTAAATAACAGCGGGTGGCTGAAATGGGATGACATTGATGAGATCTCTCTCTTTGTTTTATATTGAACAATTGAGATTCAAATTAAACAATGGTGTTTCGTGTTTCTCAGCATTGGATGATGCTGACCAGAAAAGTCGTCTTTGAGTCAATTATAATATATTGATTGTTTGTCTGTTGACGACATATCTGGCAATGCAGTTTTGTGTTTCTCAGCATTCACGACCTTAATAAAATTTTATAAACAGTTCTCTCAGCTGTAAATCCTTCATTTACTCACCTGTTTTGTTACAGATTGTCAGGATTTTGTATTCGGTCAAAAAAACTGAAATTGCATAATTATTTTAATCTTCAAATTTCAAGAACTAGGAATTTCACACAAAATATTTTCTATCTCAAAAGGACAAAAACTTTTTTCCTAAAGAACTTTATTTACACCAATACTTTTCATGTACTAAATTGTTTAGCTAGCGAGGTAACGTTACTAAGGTCATATTTTTGA